CAGTTTCTGCACTTCCTTTTCCAGTCACACAGGGTGAGTTCCTTTGTAAGGTTCAACAACCAGTTCAGACAAAAGACCTAAGAAGACAGCTCCCTGGGGACCCCTTATCTGCCTTTTTTCAAGGTCAATATGATCTCTTGGATCCATCAGTTCAGGGCTGAGGTTCACTGGGAAGCTGAAGCACCTGACTGCTAGCAGCCTCCAGGACAAAGTAGGAAGCACATACAGAAAGCTTAAACAAAAGCAAACAGGCTGGACTGCTTTGACAGGGAAAAGAAATCTCTGAAGTACTACTCCTGCACCTGAGGTTTCTGAAAATGCTACTTGAAACTATTTACTTGGGCAAGCATGTGGTTACTTAAGTGAAAGTGACACATCAAAGCCTAATTTTGTCAGTTCTTGGCTTTTTAGTACCTAAAATCCCTGCAATGAACTAATTCTGCAGAAGAATGACTTCTGCAATTCCTCCAATGTTTCACTATGTTAGCATAGCATTAAAATGAATTATTTTCTAGTTTTGGTTTTGATTTTAGGTGTATTCCCCTGTTCCCATGTAAATGTGAGGCAAAACTGTAAAATTTAATGGTTAAGAAAGGCAACACCAGGAAAGCTGGTTTCTCACCAATGCCTTATTGCCTGGAGTTCTATATTAATTATCCCTCTAAAGGGAAAATGGATGTTGAATGGGGAATAAGGCACAGCTGTTGAAGCAGGGTATAAATAGGAAAAGGTTTTAGAAGGAACAAAAGGTGCACTTTGAGCTAGAAAGATGTGTAAGGCAAGGCAGCATTGCTCTTGGATTTAGACTACTGGGATGAATTAACCACTCACATAAAAGACATAAAGACTAACATAACGACTTGGGGTTTTGGGGGGAGTTCTGTTTGTGTTTCCTTGCATTGATAACATAGCACAGGGGAAGAGCCAAATGTGAACTCTCAGTGGGAGTGTCCTTGAGCAGGCAGGGAGGTGGTGAGCCAGGATGTTGGGGCACACCACTGGAGAGCCCTACTGTGCAGTCATGGGATTCCTGAGAGCAATTGTGAGAATTGCATCCTGTACGCAAGCTATCTCAGGTGCAATAAATACTAATCTGCCTACTCTTGTACTATCAGAGCCTGCCTACAGCACTCAGCCTATGTACCTAGCAGTACTGCATGTATAGCAGGTGTGCATTTGCATGCATAATTGATTTCTGATTTCTTACAATGACATCCTTAAAGTCAAGAATAAAAGCACACAGGTTTTGCACAGTGATGAGGCTACTGCCATCCAACAGTGTTTCAGAGGATGTGTTTAGAAGTATGTAGGTAGAAGATAATGAGCTGTCTTTTGGGACATCTTTACCTGCCTTGCATCCATAAAAGGGTTAAATCCCATTATTTCCCATCTAACCATATCTGTGTGTTCAGCCAGACTGGTACTTTGATAATATTCTTGGACAACCCTTCTGACAATGTACTACTCTTGTTTAAGCTTAGTCAGCACCAACCACTTAAAAGTCTGTCTTGGTTTAACTGCACTGAATTAAAACAGCCCTTTGTAGGCAAACCCTGAGAGTTGAGAGCAGTTCAGGCTGTGTTGGTGTCTCTTTAGGCATGATGAAGTAGCACCTGAGGAATTATTTCCTCTTTTCTTTTCATCCTGTGAAAATAGTTTCTGCCTCTCTCTTCTTGTCTCACTAGTCATAACATCTGAATTGGTGCATGAAGAGAGAATTGAAATGTAGGCCAAGCGATTAGACAGAGATGAGCAATGCTTCACTTTATGCTTCCCCAGATATGATGAAAGGAGAGGGGAGGTCTCAGAAATGGTGAAAATGATATGTAAAGTTGAGGGGAAAAAAATCTTAAGTCTTCAACTAGTCAATGTAAACTGTACCACTGAGGTTCACGCTAACTTCTGAAGCAAATGGTCAAAGTTCCCAAAAGTGTGAAAGCTGGTATTTTTTTATAGAGGAGTATTTCCCTTTCTCTCTGCCTCTCCAATGGGTGATACTCTATTACCCACCTTAAAGAAAGCTTCCTGTTGTTCCCTGGAATCTAAGTGAAAAATCAATTGCCTACAGTATTAATGAGATCTGATTACGGGCTTTTCCCTGCCAGTTGTTGTTTTACCTCCCTTTTCTGCCAATATTTAACTAGGGATTCCACATGCACAAAAAATCTAATCTATTCCTTGCTTTCATCAGACATAAATGATTGGAGTTCCTGCTTTTATGGCTTTCCTGATAAATACCATTTTAGATTAGACTGCTTGCAATGAGTCACCTTAACTAGGAACAGCTTGGACAGGATTTCAGACTAGCATTATCAGTGCTCATTGATGGTGATGACTGAGGTTATTTGTGCTGCAGTTATATTCTAGAGTCAAGGGGTTCCTACCCTATAGACAAAAAAAAAAGTCTTCTGTGATACTCCTTCGCAGGATATGTGAAGGAGAAGGTTGAGGTTTTTCACGTTTCACAGCAAGTTGTTCCTTTAACCCATAACATTGTAGTACCATGCTGCCTTTCAATTCCAGCTGGGAGCTGCGAATTAAACCCCTTCACTGCCTGGGAGGGAGCTGATCTCCTTAGGGAGCTCCCTAATCACATAAATTATACTGCAGTGTGCAGAGCCTGTTCCCAATTCTGCTGAAATAGTGAACAAGAGCATTTCTAGGAGCCAGTGCTTGTGGCACCTGCACTTGGAGGAAGACCCCAAGGCTGCAGTCTGTGCACAGGTTAACAGCTTCATACCTTGATACAATCCTGGAGCTGTTCCATCTACTTCAGACTTTCATTGATCAGCTGCAGAGGAATTACATTCCTGGCTCGGGAGGTATGAATCTTGCTGCTTGGCCTAAGGTCTGGCATCTATACAGTAAATTATCTCCCACATACAGTATAATATCAGGATGATTTGGGTTATCTATCCCAATATATAAAGTTCCAGACCTTCTATCTCCGGCATTCTCTCCTGCTGAAAGCATAGCATGGTGCCAGTGGATCTATCCAGGTTGACCAGTAAAGGCTTGTGGTACCTGAGCAGGCTCTCAAGCAAAAAACATGAGTATTTCTGTTCCTGACAAGGCCCACCTCTTCCGAACTTTGTGCATGGAGACAGACCTTTGACTTGAAAATTGCTAAAGCCTGGACGAATAGGAGATGTTAGCACAGATTTGGACTCCCTGGATAAGAGGAAGGAAACATGAAGAGAAACAGGCATGGGGAGAGAAAGGAAGCAAAGGAATTTGTACTGGTACGTGAGGATTTGGGGTTGTTTCTTTGCCTAGGTAGGCCAGCTGAAGGAGGACTGCTGTGCGGACTACTCCCAAAGCTGCTCTGGCCAAAAACCTCTCCTGCTATTGCTCCTGAACTGTGAACTGAAAACCCATGGTATGACCAAGACCTTAAGGCTGGGAAAAGATGACTACAGGACTGAAAAACCCCCAATGTGAACATTATTATTCTGGTTTTGTTTGGGACATAGAATTAGTTCTAGGCTGAGATGCTGATGGTGTATAAGAAGTGAAGCAGAAGGTAAGGAAACAGAGAAAGTGTCCGAGCCCAGGGATGCTGCAAGGAGCTGAAGTCTGCAGAGAGACTGCAGCACAGGGCACTAAACTAGGAAGAGCTCACTCTGGGCAGGAATAACAGCATATCCACTTACTTCCAGAGAACAAATAAACATGACGGCGATCATCCATGAATACATGCACTTTTTTCTCCCCCCTCCATGGTTTAAAGGGCCTTTGTGTAACTCTTTAATTTAAACCAGTGAAATTGGAGCAACATAGAATTAGTTTCTCTGGGTCCTGTTCTGTAAGCATCAATTATAATGTCTAATCTACATGAAGTGCTGCTAAGTTTAGTAACCAGCTCTTTATTATGCAGCACCCAATAGCACTCAAATATATTCACATTAAGATGTAAGATCATACAAATGTTAATTGTAGAATCATCCAAATGTTAACAGTTGTTTTTTTTGCCTCCTAAGGCTATAAACAGCTATTTTGATTAGGTTGCTGTGTTCCAGTAAAATACATTTTCAAAGAGAGATTTCTCACTTGGAGCTTTGCTTGACAGTGGGCACAAACCAATGTATTATCAGAAAGCAGAGAAGGCATAAAGGACATGGCACTGGATATCAAGACTTACTTGCTGAAGTTTCACTGGTGGATTTTGACCAGAGGGAGGAGGGATACACTGCTGTGAACACATAAATCATTTATGCTCTCAATTAAAAATTTACTCAACGCCTACAGTTTTTGCCTGAGATATGGCTGGAAAAAATACCCCTGAAAACTGCTGCCATCTCCTCCAAGGTCAGGTATCTTGTCATTTAAAGGAATAGTCAATTTTGTTCTATATTTGACATTTTATTGGCCTCTTGGTTGGGTTTGGAATAAATTGTGTATGCTTTTGACTGCCTTTTCATTTTGCTCCTGCAGTGCAGTGCATTTTTTTTCCTTATAGCAGATTATTTTGCTTTGGGGTTACACTTTTTTGACATCTCTTACCTTCTACTATGTCTTCTTTCTTGTCATTATTGCTTCTTCTGTGTCTTTCCATTCCTCTGCTTGTGCTGCTTTCCTTCCAAAAAAAGTCGTCTTTTCTGTCATGGCTCACTTGATACTCTCTTTTCCTCCACTTTAATTTGTGTTCAATTCTCCTGATATTATTCTCATTAAACAACTAGAACAACTAAAGAAAAATAACAAACAGAAAAACCCAAACCCAATACTGGCCAGAAAAAGATGGCACAGGGCCAGAATTAGGACAAGAGACCATCCTAGTTATGGAGGGCAGTAAAAGAAAGGTTAAGCCTAGTAGTAAAACTCTCCCCAGGCTAGAATGAAAAGCAGTTGGATTGGAAATGATGAGCTGTAGCCTGACTCTAGCTGGCTCTTGCCACTCCTAACTGTGAGGTACAGAATGAATTCATTGGTTATCTGGCTGCTGCAAGGAAGAGGGATTTTAATCCTCTTTTTCTCCACTCTCCCTCATTTCCTGGAAGGCCTCCTGCTTTGGGCAGAGAAGTGCAGGATGTCTGTCTGTCTCTTTGACTACTGACTGCAAGGACCTGAAGTGGGCAGAGCCTTCTCCAGCCCCACAAGCAGCAATTACACAGTGCTTGGAACACCTGTACTGAAGAGAGAGAAAATTTTCCTCAGTTTCTGTCTTTGTGTCTTCTTTTCACTAATGGTGGAGAGGATCCTCTTTGAAGCAGCATCAGATATGAAAAGTAATGTCAGCATGAAAAACTAGTATCGGCTTGTCCTTCTGGTTAAGGTAACATTAAGACACCCCATAAGGAACATCCAAGTTGTGGTTTCCTTTTAAAACATTTTTACTATTGCTGGTAGTCAAATATCAATATGATATGGATATTCTTGTGATTTTTATCTAACAAAACAGCAGCACTGAGAAGCAGCCACTGCACAGCTTCTTCTGGTATCTCACTTAGGGCTTTGTCCACTGCTTCTGATGCTGGCAGGACTGAAACTGATGTTTTCCACACAGTGTGAACAGGAGTGTGTGAAATGTGCAGGGCTATGTGATAAAAAAAAAATGATTTTTTTTTTGAGATCAAAGCATACTCTGCAAATCTACTTTTTCTTTAAACAGAATCATGCAACATCCATAGACTCTTATCAAGAGAGGAATAATATGGTGCAAGAACTTACGTCAGCAAGGATAAATAATTTAAAGAAAAGGTGTGAACATGGAAGGAATAACCTGATGACTTGAAGCAGTTTTGATCTTGCATGAAGGCAGAGCTGTAATACATAATGTACAGTGAACCTGGGCTGGGTTCATGGCATATTCCAGAGGATATTTTAGAAGGCATTTTGTCTCACTACCTCTTGTTTGATGATTTGACCAATAATATTTTCAACAGCTTCTGGATGGTGAGGCTGCTTCTATCTCTTCCTTTGTACCCTATGTTAAAGACCCTGCCCCTTGCTTACAACTGGGGAGGCAGGAGAAAAATACGTTATAAGAAACCATTGTGCAAAAAGCATTAGGAAGAAGTAACAGGTTGTAACAGTATGGATCATACTTTGGCATAGCCAGAAACCTCGTTCATCATTAGGGAATCACTGACCTTTCGTAGTGGTGAATTCTCCCTGCAGGAGATGGGCCTTCATCTATTGGTTAAAACTCATGTTGTAACCTAAAAACTTTAACATTAAATAACTGAAATACACTTACAGTACTGGAATGACTGAATCACAAACAAACAAATGAGCAAAGAAAGACTCCAAAGCTTTCCAGATGGCTGTTTCCCACTGATGTACATTTTTTTCTCCGGAGCTTCAAAACATGTTTAAATTATGAAATTTGGTGTGATTACAAGAACTTGGCAAGCAGTCATTAAGGTTTTAGTCTGAGGAGTGTTACTACAGAGTTAGAGAACTGCAGATGAGCAATGGCGGTGTCCTTGTGTGTGCACAGCATTGTCAGCGTGGGTTGTAGGGAATGGGACTATGGTTCCCAGACTCTGAGTTTTCCATGTGCCACAATCCTGCTGCTTCCTGGGCCAAATCCATCCTTGGCAGAGTTGGTGAAACCGGTGATATTGTACCAGTAACTTATTTGACTTCCTTTGCTCAAACCCGCTTGCTTACCATCTCTTGCACTTCTCCAGCCTTCTGCAAAGCCAGGTGACTTGCTGTATCTCCTCTGCTCCTGGCAGTGCTTGGAGAAGCAACGCAGCCAGTGAGTACCTTGGCTTTGCTGCTGCAAACCCCTTTGTGCTGCTGGGGCAGACGTACTGCTCCACAGGCAGAGCCCCTTCCTTTGTCTGGGCCATCAGAATGATGGGGAAGGCTTGTGGTGGGCGGTCTGGAGTGGAAGACAGCAGTAATAACAGGTGGTAGTATGGATAGTAAGGAGTGGAGATTAAGATAAAAGGAAACAAATACTATTTTTTTTACTATGTTTTGAATATATTCTGAGGCTGGAAATGCTGAGTTTTCAGTTCAAGCAATCTCGCACCCTCCATTCAACCTGAGTTCAAGTTGTCAAGCTGGAAAAGGTATTGCACTCCAAGCACAGGGGAAGCACACCCCACTGGGGCAATGCTGGGGATGAAGATTGGAGATGTGCCTCTCGAGCAGATTCATACCTGAGAGAAGCTGGAATCTTCCTTTGCATCTCAGTTCCTCCTGGCTGCAAGTACAAGAGCCTCTCTCTAGCTCCTTCAGGCCCACTCACTGTCAGCTCTTTAGGGTTAGGGAATAAAGTACTGGTACACAGCCCAAGGAGAAAGCCAGAGATTCCCTACTGAATAACTGATTTTTTTTCTGATGTAGCTTGTTGTCCAGGTGACTTTTGAAGGAAGTCCTTTCTTCACTGGTCTGATGATAAAGACTGCTTCTGTGGCAAGGGCAGGTTGGTTACAGACACCTCCAGATACAGGGTTAAGGGCAGTATTAACACAGAGAAGAGAGCAAAAAAAACATTGGTGGCCATCCAGTAGGAAAGTTACCCCTGGAGTTAGCAAGAACATCACACTGTTGTGTGCTGCTGCAGAGCCAACCCCTGCTCAACAACAGACAACAGACAAATCACTCTTAACTACTGAAGAAGAGGATGTGGCAACTATTCATGTCAGAAGGAGGGAGAAGGTGGATAACTGCAGTTCCCTTGGCAAACCCGGTGCATGTCAGATACCTGCTGGCTGACTATACTCTGTTCATGTCAAAGAAGTCCCTCAAAAGGCACCTCCTGTAATTCCCACCTCACTGGTCTCCAGAAATCACCCTGCCATTGGCATTGCATTGACTTTGCATTCTTGCTGTTTGAGTAAGGAACGTACCCTGCAGTAAGCATGTATATAAGCATTCAAGTGACCAGCCTTCCCTGTACCTACCAAAGTGTGGCTGCTTTGCTGTCTACTCTTCAGATTTATAGCTTTGCCAGTTCCTCTGGGGCTCAACCAGCTGCTATCTTATGCATTGGTGGACTCCTGCCATGTGTCACTGCCAGTATATGAATTAAAAACAAATGCTGAAAGTAAGGTGAAGAGATAAATAACTGCACAGCAGGAGATGTGCTTAAGCCCACGCAGTGGATGTGGTGTGACTCCTTTCTAATAACTCACTGTCCATCAGGTCACCATCATACACAACCTGCAGATGGCTCAGCAGTGGGTGGCATTAATATACTTGGGCTCCTCTGGCACACAGGTGTCCCGTACTGTCCTTCCCACCCTTTCTTTTCACCAGCAGATTTTCCCACCCTTTCTTTTCACCACTTTGTTGCTGACTGTCAGGTGAAGTGAGCAACATGTCCTCACTGTCATAGAGAACATATCTGGCTGGCTCCCAGTGGGCTTGTACTGCTTTGCTTGGTGTGCAGGAAAGATAGGCGAGTCTGCCTGATGTCACTGACTTTTTGCAATGGTACTATTGCAGAATTGTGACAAACAGCAGCAGAATTGAAATATCAAGGCTATTCAGACACTTTGCAGATGTGTCTCTTTGCTTATGAACTACTCTATCCAGAGTCATGGTCTGATTACACACACTGCAGCTTTCAAGGGACATCTCTGATGTTGAGGCAGTATGGGAAACCCCTTGGTACTCTGCATGTGCTAGGACTTGCATTGTACAAATGCATGTACAGAATCAGATGACATCTAAATGCTTAACTGCACTTTAGTGAGATCATGACATCATGCAACAGTTTCTCAAGGAACAGTCAAGAAATAAAATAGTCTGAACCCAGGAAGGTATGTCTGTAGAAAGGGTGTACAGGGTAATGCTAAAGTTAAGTTACTTTTCCTAGAAAATCTAAAGGAAAATATAGAGAAGAAGATTCATAAAATGTTTATATATGACTGGGAGGGATCTTCCACTGCAAGAGCTGTATCTCATAACCCATGGTAAAAACCTAAAACCCACAAACTGAGGAGTCTCTAGACCTTACTGTTTACATTGAAGGGCTATGGCAAAAACTAATGTTAGAGAGCATCTCTGAATTCCCCACTTAAATTTATGGATGTTGAATTTACCTCTATTATTGTAAATCAATAACAAGTATGGGTGTTGAATTGATGGGACTGAAAACAGAGGACAGTCAATTGCTAAACTCAAAATCACATAAGATGATGCATGGGTTGGATTGTTTTGTCTTCTAGGGTTGAAGTTTTTCTTTAGACTGAAAGATCCTTGCTTTTTGCATTAATAATTACAGCTGAGTACTTCTGAGTGAGCGCAGATTTGTTACAAATGATTAATAAGATTTCCTATATGATTTGCAGTGAGGAGGTTTTAAGTAGTCTGCTTGCCTTTCTGTGTATCAATTATAATACTGAATAGTGTTCAGCTGTGGTTGTGTTGATATTCCTATGATTTACCTGCAGGCAATGCCAAACCCCTTTCAGCTCGCCTGACAAAAGTCAACTTCATTTGCACCACTGCAGGGACCGACCCAGTAACCAGAGAGGAGGGAGTACAAGCAGGTTTGAGTTCAGCAGGCAACCTTAGTCTTATCAGCAGTGAGTAAATACAGAAAGATTGGAGGTCAAATGCACTCTCTCATACACGTCTGGGGTCAGTGAGGCTTTGCTCTTTTTAAGGCAAAAATGAGAAATGATCTTTCAGAAGTGAGAAAGGAGCCCCAGGGCTACCTTGGGCTGTTGCCTCTAGCACATAGTTAAAGTATGGCAGCAACGCATGCTGCCCCTATTCAGGTCACAGCAGATGGGAATGGGAATGATGATGAAGGCCAGAGATCCTTGTCTCGCACACACAGAAGCTGACTGGCTCCTTGTCTGAAAGCCTTAATAGTACTGTGATATTTTGATACTGATGCTGGGGTTTTTTTTGGGAAGGTAGAGATACTGGTGCCTTAAAAGATCCAAAAAGTATTGTTCAATGCTAAATTTAATTTCTTGTCATTAAACTGGGCAAAGAAACTCAACCCCTTTCTTCCCACGTCCAAAGGAAAACCACAATCTTATTAGCAGCATGATCCTGAAAGCTGTTTTCCTCCCTGCTGCATTATCCAGCTTCTGGAGGAACCCTTCACCAGCACCATGCTTTGGCCCTGCTACATTCAGAAGACCTGGAGCACAAGCCTGATATCCCAATATAACATGGAGACTATTTAGTATCCTGAGTTGATTTACCATCACATTTTTGAGTAGTAATATTCTTTTTAATAAGAAAGACCTCAAAAATAATAATTGCAATGTCTGTCACTAATATTATATTGTAGGCAGAGGAAAAACACTGCCTTTGTTCCCACTCATTCCTATTATGTGCGGTTTTGCATGTGTTGCTTCCTAAAAAGCCTATGAAGAACCTATCATTCTTTCTGAAAGATTACCATAGATAATTTTATTTTATAATGAATCAAGGATTTGATACCGGAAGAAATTTTGCTTGTCAAGAGAGCTGCTGTTTAATAACTTTTTAATAAGCTTTTTTAAATCAAAGCATTTGATGGGATACAGCTCTGCAACACAAAAGATATCACGGCTGATACAAATGATTGGGACCAGGAATCATCTGGAACATGATGGTATTTACAGGTGTGGAAAATAAACCATCTTGTGAAAATAAACTACTAAAACCAAAATAATGCTTCAAGAAGAAAATCTCTTTCATTTTGTTGTGTCCTGCTTAACCAAAATATTTGTGTAGCTGAGCATTTTGCAAGGGAGAGCTGGTAGAGACATCTACAGTTAAAACTGCCAAGACTTTCAGTATTTTGCCAAAATTTTAACTACCAGACTGAAATATTCCAAGCTTGCTGTCTGCCTCAAGCTGCAACAAAACGGTTCAGCAATGTTCACAAAAATAGTTACGAAAAAATAGAAGTACTCTTAATGAAACGTATTTGTCCCAGCCATCTTTTTGGAAGTAGATGTGAAATCAATGGATGTCTGTTTCAGTCTGCAATTTGCTTCTTGAGTGACCGCTGGATTGCTTTTCGTATTAGAGACGCCTGGATTTGGCTGCAATGTAAGACTTGGAAAATCACTGATATAAGTGCTATTGACTTTACTGAGACCAGTATTTTATCCATCAGTATCAACTGCAGTACTGTTACTGGCAGATGATAACACATCGAGTAGAGCCTTTTGGCATTAGAAGCAGCAGTGAAGTCCTCCCTGGGGAGTGTGCACATGAAAAGCCATGTAGCTACATGCACTGTAGGTACTGTATACAGCACTGAGCACTGGTTAATAACCCGTATCATGAGGAATATTATCTTGAGCATCATCCTAATGCAGTTTCCAGTAAGCTCTGAGCACAGGCAGAGCAACCTGCCCCAAAAGCCTATACTGATGCACTACCTCTGGCATAGGAAACTGTTCTTGCGCAGTTTGCAGGATGACAGCAGATAAGGATTGAAAAAGATGAGAAGTGGCCTCTTAAGCTTGCACATGTTAAAGACTGTGACCAAGAAAAAATGTCTTTCATTGCAAGCTCTAAAATGACTTGTGTCACAGTGCC